TAGCACGAAAAGTTTAACTTAGCAATAATGTCTTTTAGATTTAAATATAATAATATTGATAAATGCGTATAATCAAAAGTTTGTGATAATCAATTATGCTCATTTGTTTATACATAGATGATATGTTGATTGTGAGCAATCAAATGTAAAGTATAAAAAAACAAAGATGTCTTCTATCTTCCACATGAAAAATCCTAGTCAAGTGAATACCATACCTAGTATGGTATCAAAGTCATCAAAACTTGTGGAGGTTATATGTTAAGCCATCACATTATGTTGAGAATGCAATTATTAAGTTCAAAAACTTGAACATTAAAGAAGCTAATACTCCATTTGATCCAAGTTTGAAACTTACAAGAATAATGAAAGAGTTATAGCCCAACTCGATTACGTAAGTGCTACGGGGAGCCTAATATATGCAGTGCAATGTACAAGAACTAACATTGCATTTGCAATTAGTAAACTTAATTGGTTTACTAGCAATCCAAGTAAAGAGCATTGGAATGCTATTGGAAAAGTTCTTGGTTATTTGAAGAAAACCAAGGATCCAGGTCTCCAATATTCTGAGTTTCTGACAATATTAGAACGATTTATCGATTCAAATTGAATATCTAGTGTTAGTGAGAATAAATCAACCCCAGGTTACCCTTAGAGGAGGTGCGATCTCTTGGAAGCCCAAGAAACAAACATGTATTAATCAATCAACTATGAATCCAAATTTGCGGCATTGGTTGAAACCAGAAAAGAAGTTGAATGGCTTAGAAATTTAATGTATGAAATTTCATTGGGATAAAAGAAAATAAATTTCATATCTATCTTGTGTGATAGTCAAGTTACTTTAGGTAGAGCATACAATAAATTGTATAATGGAAAGTCTAGACATATGAGTCTAGACATGACTATATGATGAAATTAATCAGAGATAGAATAACATCGTTTACTTATGTGAGGTCAAATGAGAATTGGCTAACCCCTTCATTAAATCGGTCATAAGGAAATTAGTGCAAACAGCAACTAGTAGAATAAGATTAAAACTCTGTAATTAAATTCATCAATGACCAATCCTATCTGACTATACCAACAAGTATACTTCAGGTTCAAAGGGTAACAAGTCATTCGATATGTAGATAGATTCAGCACTTATTTTTTCTTTTAAAATCTTATCATTTATTACAAGTGTTGGTTAGGGTTAAGTTTCTATAACTTAAATAAAGTTCAAAACGATGGATCAAATATCTCTGAAAGTGACAAAGATACTGCAAGAACTTTACCTATATAAACTTCGAGGTGGTGCTACTTCAATAGAGAGTTGGAGTTTTTCCTTTAAAAGTTTATGAATAGGAGAACAGAAGGCCATAAAAGTGCTAAACGAGATTGTGTGGAACTTGGAACACTTGATATTTGTGTGTACGATTTCACTGATATCATCATAAGGAATAATAGGCTCAAAGTTTTCATGCTACCTAGGATTTCAATTATTACTTTGTGAGATTTATACTTAGATTGGATTTAAATCGAAAGATATCTATACCCTATGCATAAGTGCCATTAAACTAGAGCTTGTACTCATTTTATATTTGAACAAGTGGTGGAATGTTGAATATTGTGCAAATTAACTATGAGGAGTGATTTTGGAAGTGATAGAAATGATTAACTATGAGAAAAATAAGTAAAAACAAAATGAGGACAAAAAAGGGTGATAACTAAATGGTGTCCGCCCAGGCTTAAGAAAGGTGGGTCAATTACAGTTGTCATTTGTTGAACTGAGCGAGCGCTTGATTTTGTATTGGGTGGCCGCCCACAACAAAAATTTGCCCGTTGAAGTTTTGAATTCTGGTGTTGTTTTAAAGGGTTTTACACCCTTTGGCTTGACTTTGTACAATTTCATGTATGGTAGTTGGAATTCTATATATATGAGTGATCTTCGTAATTGAAAACTTACTACAAATATCAAATTGATTTCATTACATCCAAAATCTAAGATTAAACGAAGTTTTTTTTTTTTTTAATAGTTTTGCTCTTTAGTTCATTTTTCTAGATTTTGTTTGCTTGATTCAAACTTGGATTAAAGTTTGTTTATTACTACAAACTATTTGTCATAAAACCTTCAAACACTTACCCCAGTGACGGCAAATATCATTTGAGGACAGCAATTCATAATCGTATAAACCTTCCATTTTGATGATTTCTTGTTGCTAATTTTATTTTTATTCTTCATCAACTTTGTTTAACACAGCCTGTAGCTTATTTATCTTGAACAGCCTCAAGTCCCAATCCCTCTACTGACACCAATGTCACCCCAATATTTTCTACACCACTCCTTTTACCAATGTGTTGGTAGTGATGTAAATGATTAACCATAATAAAAAAAAAAAAAAAAAAAAAGCGAACAAAAAGAGTGATGACTAAAAAATGGTCTGGCGGTCATTTTGTTGAACTGGACGGACGCTCAATTTTGTACTAGGCACCCACCCAGATCAAAAAATTGCTCGTTGGGATTTTGAATTTTGTTGTTGTTTTGAAGAGTTTTTAGACCCCTTTGGCTTGATTTTTGCACCTTTTCATAAATGGTGGTTGTTTTATATATATATATATATATATATATATATATATATTAAGTAGTTTTCATAATTGAAAATATATCACAAACATCAAATTGATTTCATTATATTCAAAATTTAAGATGAAACCAAATTTTTTATAATTTTGTTCTTATTTATTTATTTATTATTATTATTTTTTAAGTTTCGTTTGGTTGTTTCAAATTTGAATTAAAGTTTGTTTATTGCTACAAATTATTTGTCATAAAGCCTTCAAATGCTTATCCTGTTGGCGACAAATATAATTTGACTACAGCGATTCATAGTTATGTTCAAACATTTTATTTTGGCGATTTCTTCTTGTTGATTTTATTTTCATTCTTCATCAACTTTGCTCAACACAGCCCGTACCTTGTTTATCCCGAACAGCCTCAAGTCCCAGTCCCTTCAGTCACACCATGCCAATATTTTCTACACCGCTCTCTTTACCAAATCCAAAAAATGGACAACAATTTCTTGAGACCTTCTGCAGGTGATTCCGGTAAAAAATTTGAGAATTCCTAGCCACCCAATTTAGAGCTCCAGGTATTAACCAAAATGGATGAAAATCAGTCAACTCAACTTCAACTCTCTATTGGGTCATCAAAAATCAGTGAAAAAACCGAAATGGACAATGCAAATATTTGCAGCAGTGAGAAGCCAAAGATGGTTGCGGCGGTGCCACCATCGAGATGACTAAAAGAACAGGTGGAGGAACAGTTAAGGTTGGTCATGGCTGAAAAGGCTTATGCAGAAGCTGCAAAGACAACAGGCCAAGCGACAGATTGAATTGGCAGAATGCAGCAAAAAAATAAAAAATTCATACAAGAAGCACAAGCAAAACTAGAGAAAGCACTGGCCTTGAAACAACATGCTATAAATCAAATCAAATCAAATCAATTCAACTACATTACAAGTTACTTGAAAAAAAAAGGTTAAATCCTAACCTTAAGGGCCCCCACCACCTCTGCTCTGGAGCATCGTGAGGGAGGTAAATCGCAGGTTATGCCTCCAAGGGTACAGGGTGGAAGGTTGCTTGTACACTTGCACTTACCAAAGAGCCAAATCCATATTTCAGGATTCGAATCCTCGACGCAACAGTTTCAAGCAAAGTTGGATTTCTCCACCCTCCGCTTTTACCACTTGGAGATGTGCCCTAGGGGCTACATTACAAGTTACTTGGGTTTGGTTTTGGATGGGAAAGGTGGGGTGGACTTGGGAAGGTCAATTTTGATTTGGGTTTTGGTTTTTTCAAATTTTTTATTTAATTATTTAATTTAATTTGTTTTGTTATATAAAACAAAAAATTACTATTTTAATCAATAATAAAATATAAATTTACTATTTAATTGGTTTTGAGATTTATTTGTACTTTTTTTTAAAAAAAAATTTGGTAGTATAATTACAATTTGTTCTTTTTCTTTATTTAATAAGAGGGTATATTTATCATTTCAGAACTTTTAAGTTAGAAAAATAGATAAAAACGATGATTTCTGCAATGAAAAATGAAAATAAGGGTGGAAATGTCCAAAAATGATAGGTAAGAACGTTTCGCACAATAATATTGATAGATATAAATATTTTGGGCTAATTGTCCTTTATTATCCATTGTCAAAATTGGATTAGATTGATTGGTTGAAGCAGGGAGACTATGAACTAGTCCAATTCTAGTTTAAACAAAAAAAAGTGGGAAATTAAGAACTGTCAAAAAAAGGAAAAATAGTAGATTCACCTCAATTTTCTATATTT